AATGTTTGGCATTTTTCATTTTTGAAAGCTGCCCAAGTCTCTCCAGCGAGAGAGGGTGGGTTAAAATCATTTTTTATTAAAATTGATTGGATGAAATTTTTTTAAAAATGCACTTCAGTCCTAAATGCCAATTTGAGAATACTTTTATCTAATCCAGCTCTATTATTCCCATTATTCTAATTTTGATTCAAAGTTTGGAAACATTATCATTTGGACGACAATTCCAGCAATGCAAGGCAGCATGGCCAGTGGCCAAGCTGGTGGTGGGATTCTGGATGTGGTAGTCAAAAAGCAATTTTCTAAAGCTTTGGTATTATTGGACTGTCTAGTTACCTCTAATGTCAAGAAATGTCAGCTGTTCCTGGCCCCACATTAATGGACTGCAAATGACACCAGGCTGAGACAACAAAACTGATCTGGAGAGATGGTGGAACTGGAAACCCAACATTCTTTGGAGGACCATGGTGGCCTACTCCTGCATTACAACTTCCAAATAGGAGCCAAGTATTTATTTTTTAATTCAGACAGTGTGTCTGAGATCAAGGACATATACAGAGTAAATCTTCTGAAAACAGCCAGAGATCCTGAATTTTCTCCCATTAGAGGCATTTGTGGTGAGCAGATTTCTCCTGTTAGCAAGCAATTCCTATTGTTCCTTCATTGGTTCTCCTTGCCACTTGCTCCCTCTTTTTTCAGAAAGGTAAAGGCCCTCAAAAACCATGCAGGAAAGTTGCTACTTGATCTTAGTCCTGTGTAAATGGAACAAGACTGTCTCTTCAAGAAAACCTACTTGGAATGTGAGTGTTCACTTCTTGCTGTAAAAGAAGAGTGTCTCAGAACACATACGTAATATCTTTCTTTAAATAGGCAACAACAGAAGAAATTAGTGTGGGAACAGAGTGGCTTCAAATGGATGGCAGTTGTATTGGTCAACTTGGAAAGATTAAATTAGTCATAGGCTGGTTGTCAGCACACAAGTGATAGTTTGGCTGAAGGCTCAGTAGTCTCTAGAATAAAAGAAATGTCTGTTATCCTGTCATAGCTGAATGGCCTCATATTTTGGCTCAAAACATTTCAATTGAAGTTTGCCATATTTCAAATTTAAATTTTTGATATTTATATTTGGAAGAAAATATAGCAGAAATAGTATGGTATATGAAATAGGTGGAGATAATTTCCATAGTTGTTTAGGACTATTCAATGGAGAGTAGATTCTCAGATGACACAAATTCAACCATAGCTTGATAAAATTATTCATTTGGGCTTTATGACATTTTTTCCTTGCTTTGCCTGGAGAGTCAGCTTTACTGAACATGGCTATTCCCCAGTGGAGATTCCTTTTCCTTACTTGAGGTGGAAAGTAATAACATTCTTGATAAGTATATCATGAATGTTATTTTATGGTATTTTAAGACCCATGAAATCCATGAATTTTACTGGAGTGTCTTTGAATAGGAGTAATTCCGGACTCACCTCCTCATGAAAATATTATTTGTTGCTCTTTTAGTAACCTAGCCAACAAGCTGGGTACTTGGATGGTAAAGCCTTTCTTGATTTTAGTCTGAACCTTAAAACAGCTGTCTAAGAGGCCATGAACACCTTGTTTATTCATTAACTTTATTTGTGGTATATGTATACTGCCTTTTGATAACAATAACAAATGTTTCCAAGAGGATTAGCAGGTTTAATAAAATCTCCAAACAAAAACATATAAAATGAGGTGAAATGAAACTGTTCACAAAAAAAAAATCAGATTACTTGTCAAAAATGTGTTTTTATTTAACCCCTTAAAGGCTTCTGAGATAAGTCTATTTATCTTTCTGGCTACCTTTTTATGTTCTTGTCTGTCTATCTAAAAAAAAGAGCAGAAGGTCAAGTGGAATTTCATGAAGAGAAACTCACAGATCTTGGGGCATATGAAAAAGGCTCTGTTATTCTAAATGATCAATCTTTGTTATAGGAATAAGGTAAGTAGTTAAAACGGGACTATTTCAAAACTGAACATTTCAAGGTATTGATAGACACATTCAAAATGTAAATTACCCTGCTTAGAAAAAGGTCTGCCTCAACCTTCAAAATAGATAAGAAAAACTCTACCCATATTTTATTTATTTCTCTGGCTTTGCAAGGAACACTTTTCAGAACTTGGTAATTTTATTTTTATTAAAAAGAATAATGTTTCCAGACTCATAGGGCCCTTCTAGACAGGCACTATATCCAAGGATCTGATCCCAGGTTTTCTGCTTTAAACTTGATTATATAAGTTTCCACTGCCAGATAATCTCAGATAAACAGAAAACCTGGTATCAGATCCTCGGATAAAGGGCCTGCCTGGAATGTTCCTTACTCATCCAAATTGTTGTAGCCTGGTAAGCATTGGATAAACTTTCTGAGTGCTCAGAGGATGAGGAAGGGGATGGTGGGTTGCACCCTGTAATGTCTGAGGAGTCTGTGGAAGGTGTGTAAACCGCTTTGAGTCCCCCTAGGGGTGAGAAATACTGTAAATAATAGCAGGGGTCTGAAGGGAGATGTTTTGGAATCTCCAGTTCCCAGGCAATGGGAGAAAGTGATACCAGTTCCCAGGAGAATAGGCCAGAGTGGCCTTCGGAGGAGAATGTAGGAGATGAAGGTTTTTCCAGATCAAACTTCCTTGAAATTAGGAAGCACAATGTAAAACAAAGACAAACTCGTTTTTCTCAGATGCTTAGAGATAAGGAGAGAGAAAAGCAGGTGTGTGCAAAGTGATGTCATGGGAGAGATTGAGGCCTTTAAAATGGTTTCTGGGCTCTCAAGCCTTTCGTGGGAACAACACTGTAAAGAGGGGAAACAGCTTTCAGTTTCTAGTCCTAAATTCCTGGTTCCTGTATTTAAAGATTATTGGTTTGATTCCTGTTTATGACTTCATGTTCCTGGAGGTTTTGCCTTTCTTGCGTTCTTATTTTCATTTTTAAGGATATAACTTTTGAACAATTTCCTGCTGGAGGATTCTTTTGCTGTGTGTTAACTCAAGTCTCTTTTGATTGCTCTTTGACGCCTTGGTTCAAAAGCTGATGAACTCTTAATCTCATTGGGAATTACTTTTTGTACTTCTATTGCTTCTGTTTTTACTTGACTTCATCCTTTTATACTTATTCATTAATAAGTATTGGGTTGTGTTAGGTGAAAAGGTGTTGGATGGTGTTGGGTGAAAAGGTGTTCCAGGGTACAGTGCAGCACAAATACCTTTTTGCTTGGGAAGGGGAAGAGACAAACGTCCTTGGCTCCATAAGTAAGATGTCATGCTAACCTAGGAATGATACTTCCATCGAAGATGCTCACATTTCTTGTTCTGATCAGATAGTTAACAGTCTTCTTGAGGGAAGTATTTTACACTTTCATAACTACCACTAGTGCCAATGGTGCAATTGGTATAAATGCTTAAGGGTTTGGATTGTACAGCTGCACAGATTTGTTGTTGTTGTTGTTGTTGTTGTTGTTGTTGTTAATTGCATCATGTCAACTTTAACAAATGGTATCTCTATGAATCAAAGATCTTCAAGCCACATATCTTAATTAACCCTCTCAGACTATACAAATTCAGTGCCATGGCCTATAATCTGGAATGTGATTTTTTTCATCATATACTGCTTTCTATTTTAACAAGCATTACTGTCTTTTCTAGCGAGTCATGTCTTCTCATTATATAGACAATGTACAACAGTCTCAGTTTAGTCATCTTGGTTTCTTGAGAGAGTTCAAGAAAGAAAAATTCAATCTTGAAAAAGTTATCATGGGGAATAGGTGTCTCCACTGAAGCTTTATCCCCAATCATTGTTTCCACAACAAGCCACATTTTTCAAAATCCAGTTATAACAGGGATAGAAAGTGAGGTGAAATCTTCTGAACAGGGACACAAACAGCAAAAGAAATACCACAGGGTTTTAACTTTTCAGTTGGCACACCTTTTCCCCATAACTCTTTCATGAGTGAATTTCCCTTGCTAGGATAGATTTCTCTCACTTCCAGTTGCATTGTCCCCATTCTTAACTTGGAGTAATTTGTAAGTTGGATGTTTGTAACTCAAGGACTGTCTGTATTTAAATCTTTTCCTGAGAAAAAGCATACTGAAAAATCTCCATGGTCTATGTGGACTGATCCAAAGAAATAGAAATACTCACTAGTGATCTGAAACTAGGTGAAATAGCCCTTACAGATTTGCCACCCTATTAATGGAAAATATTTTTGAGATTATGAGGAGGAGGGGCCATTTATCTTTTAGAATTTATTTATTTCATGTCAAATAAATAAATAAATATTTAGAATTGGGAGTAGGGACTTACTGAGTAATATGGGCTGTGGGTGTCATTCTTATTTTTCTTCCTGCTGCCTGAATTAATGATAGTAATGTTTCTATCAGTAGATATTTCTGTTGGCCATGATCATCATTCTTACCCTTGCCCTAACATGCCTCCTCAAAGTAATGCTGTGCCAACTATTTAGCATTGCTCTAGGTGTAAAGTGGAGCATCAGGCGACATAATGAATAATAATTCTTCCAAAGGGGCATGGTGGTAGGAAACCGCATGTGCTGAGATGAGGACTTTCTTTGGGTTGATGGAGGGACATCCTCCCTTTCCATGGTCATTTCCAGTTTCAACATTGGCAAGCAGATTGTTATTAAGTATCCCTACTTCCAAATACTTACAGCTGGAATTCAAATTAGTTTCCCCATTATTATTCAAACATCTGGACTGTGCCAAGTGCAAAGTCTACTCAGACATGCTCTTCATATGTTCTGCGTAGCTTACTCCCAAGTAAACGTTGCTATAGGATAGACTGTAGAGAGTCTGTATCATCCGAGAGAGGGTTGAATTGCAAAAATATTTTAGTGCTCAATCATTTAGCACACTTTTGGTTGATAATGCTTGAGGAAGCTCAACTACATAGAAGTCTTGGTGATCCGCTTTCCATAGCTTAGTCTTGTGGGTCTTGATTCCCCTTGTTCTATGGCCCATGTCTCTATCTCTGAGCCGATAGGGCAGACCTTTAAAGAGTTACATAACATGGACATATCCATAACAAGTATGGACGGAGGCATTTATTAAACTATCCAAAATGTAATCAGGATGTTGATGTGAATGTGTTTTTCTCTTTTTGTTTCTGGGCTTTTTGTCATTGTTTGATTATGATGATGATGACAATATCAAAAGAAATGCAAGTCTTTGGATCTTGGTGACATGAACAACTTTTCTTCTAGTTCACTGTGATCATCCAATGTCTGCTTTAGCTCAGCAACCCACCCAGGAACCAGATTTTACAATGTGAACAACATCTTCTTTTTCCCGGTCATATTTATAGGCTTTAGGCCCAGAAAAGAAGTAAATGAATCCTACAGAAAGAGGGAGGGGAAAAGAAAGACAAAAAATGAAAAAGAAGGACTGTTATTTTTCTGGTCTGGAACATGTCTAACCCCATTAACAAACTTTACCAATTCATTCAATTTACATTTTTCATCTGTTTTCTATAAAAATATCAAAGGAAGAATACAATAATAAGTAGGGACAATAACAGAAGTTATCATTTGAAGAGAAGATAGCATAAGAGCGTCATCATTAAGCAATACAAAACAGCATAGGCCACATAATAATAGCCAATGATACCTGAATTCTACAAAATTGTGAAAAGAACCAGGATACTTAAAACAATGAAAACACACTTTAACAAGTCTGCAAAAGACTTTCCACAATTTTGAGCCACTATTTAAAAGACAGATTCTTGATGGCCACATAATGAACCTTTTACTTAAGAAGTGAAAGAAGTCTACAGATAACTTCTGAGGCTTTTAAGGGAGATGTTTTCTGTAATTGGTATAAATAATAACAGTTCTATGCAGGGATAAACAGTTCTTTGCACATAAGGGTCAAGGTCTTTGGTTTGCTATTTTTAATTGAAGCTAAGGGTGACTCAGAAATAGGGATGTAATTCTTTGCTAATTTCATTCTCAAAGGACGCAACAATGTAAGCATTTTCCTCTTCTGCTACAAAGTCTTTGAAAATTGTGCAATTTTGGATGGTGTTCACAGTTTAGGAATCATTCTGTGTAAAGCTCACATGTGATGATTTTGTACAAAAAACACTATTTTCTGCACAGGAAATGGCCTTTTCTCTGCAAAAAATGATATTTTTTGTGCCACCCTACTATCTTGCTCAGCTAGTTAGTATCCAGCTGCATTAAAACACTACTGACTGAGAGGTCATGAGTTCAAAGTCAGCCCGGGTCGGAGTGAGCTCCCGACCATTAATAGTCTAGCTTCCTGTCACCCTATGCAGCCTGAAAGACAGTTGCATCTGTCAAGTAGGAAATTTAGGTACTGCTTTATGCAGGGAGGCTAATTTAACTAATTTACAATGCCATAAAACCTTTGAGCAGCGTGTGTAAGAATGAAGAAGTACTCCATCAAGGACTCGGTGTCACAAGTGGACAGTGAAGTGGCAGCTCCTCCTGTGGCTGGAATCAAACATACCCTCATGAAGCTGGAAAGCTGGAATGCTAAATTGTCTCTGTGTCTATATATGTTGTATGTCTAATGGCATTACATGTTTGCCATGCATATGTGCATTGTAATCCACCCTGAGTCCCCTGCGCAGTGAGGAGGGTGGGATATAAATACTGTAAATAAATAAATCAATTCTGTGCTAAAACTGCTTCAATTAGGAATTTATTCTGTGAAAAACCCACACATTTCTGCACAAAAAATTACATTTGCTGCACAAGAAGTAGTATTTTTCTGCAGAATATACGTATGTGTTTTTCTCCAAAGAAAATGCTGTTTTATGTTCAAAACAACCAAGAGAAAATTGTGTTAAGAATAAGAATTGAAATGCAATGTTGTTGTTCATTCGTTCAGTCATCTCCGACTCTTCGTGACCTCATGGACCAGCCCACGCCAGACTTGTACCACCCTGGGCTAACCTGGAAGTACCCAACCCTCACCTGCCACTCCCCCCCCCCCCCCCCCCCCCCCCCCCCCCCCCCCCCCCCCCCCCCCCCCACCCCCCCCG